CTGACACTGGTGCAAATTAGCTTCTCTACAGCAGCAGTGGTGCAAATTAGCTTCTCCTTTCCCCTCTGAGGAGTCATCTTTCTATCACGTGGGATTATATTTTTGTTGCGAAGTGGACACAAATGAGCAATTCTGCTCAAAAACAAAGCCTAGAGACCAAAATCACAGGCATGGAGCTGACTTACCAGCTGGGAAGGAGGAAGAAAAGGAAGTGCAGCAAACTGCAACCCATTGCAAACCAGCCATTTTACGCCCACAGCTGTTGCTCTTTCCTAAATTGAAAAGGCCAGTCCACCAAGAAGGCATGTTGGGAAGCCGGTCTGCTCGGAGGGCTGCCCTCCTGTGAGCAGAGGCAGTAGGAAGCAAGCCTGAGTATCCTGAGATGACTGCAGTGTTATAAGCCCTGCGTTAGAAGCACGTTGCTGATCGTTCGGTTTTTACAAGGACTCATCCTGTCTGAGGTTGAATTCCTCTTCAATTTGCATCATGTGCTCAGCCCTATGCAAAACAGAGCGTGGAGGCGATATGGCCTAGAGGGGAAAATCACTTCCCTTCCCTGTGGCTCAGTTTCCCTTTCTGCCCACTTGGAGTATCAACTCCGGGCATAGACAGAGTCTTCATTATGTGTATAGGCAACGTTTCACAGTGTGGTCCTGACCTCTAAGGGAGCCTCCAGGCACTGCTATCACACTAATAATTCATAACAGTTGCTATCCTCTGGGCCTTTTTGGACCGTTTTGTTACCCACAATAAGCACAAAGCAGGACTGGACCCCAGCAGCAGTCATGCTCCTACTGCTAGTCACCGACTCTGCCATTCCTTGACTTCAATTGCAATCAATTTTCCATGTCTATGTTGAAAAAAGTAGGGGAAATGATAAATGGCAAACCAAGCCAAGCAACAAAAAGTGGGAGCAGTGAGCCTCTGGGTCGCCGGCTCGGCATTTTGAGCAGTGGATAAAACATAGACAACAAGCTACAAGAAAGCTGCTGCGACACACGGCGGTTGTACATGCAATAGCATCCGGATGGGATCAAAGATATATATCCTTGGCTGCTGCTTGTGCTTAAAACCCCTCACTTTGTAAAGGAAAGCCCAGTGCCAGACCTGAGGGGTCTTCTGCCAGGTGGAAGTGGCCAAACCAGAGGAAAATGAAAAACATCTGAAGCTGAGCTGGCAAGCCTTGCACACGCAGACACCCCACTTGGAATGATAGTTTTGTTGCAGTGTGGACACAAACGGGCAATTCGGCTCAAGAACACTGCGAGTAATAAGAGTGCTGCGCAGTTGGGTAGGCTTGAGATTTTGCTGAAATGTTAAACCAGGACACAGGGCCAATGCAGCATGTTTTGTCATTGTTGTTGTTCCCTTTTTTGCAGGGCAAAAGATTTTACAACGTGGCATAGTGGTTGCATGTGCCCTAGTAATTGCACCAATTATGTCATTTGATATAATTGGACTAATTGCGCAAGCACACAATAATTAAATAGAAGTTATTCCTAAAAGAACATTCAATTCTGTTCTCAGCTCTTCTGCTGCAAATTGGAACGAGCCCCATCCAGATCAATAGTGCTTGCTGGTGTGAAACTAGTCCTGAAGATTGTGCAGGACCGGGGAAATTAATCTGTTGTTTCAGAGCTCTGGACCAGGCAGGATAGCAAAAGTACCTCGGGGACATTACACAAGAAGGTGCTATTTCCTGGCCAAAGTCCAAGGTAAGTAAATCCCCCTTCCATTTTCAACCATAAATGTCATCCTTCTTTCTTGTTCTCAGCTGCTGTGCATTGATTTTGTAGTCTGTCAAGCAGCTGCTGATTCTGTATCAAAATGGGAGGGGAGGGCCCTGTGCCTACACCATAGTGGCAAATCCCGTACTGTACACACTCACCCTGGTGACAACCTCTGCAAATGTCGACGGATTGACTTTATGCTGAAAACAGTGTTGATGGGAGCAGATTTTCCTCTAAAAAAATAAAAAAGGATATATTTTGCAAAGTACTTTGGACTGCAAACCTATGTAGCTCAATGGGATTTGCTGTTCATAATGAATTCAGAGCGTAAGGGAGTTTGCCAACAAAATTATGAACATCAGTCTCCCCAGGGCTCCTTTGAAACAAATCCCGCGTGAATCTCCAGCATCGGGCACAACCACACACTATTTTTTTTAACTAATATTGCAGGCCCGTGGAGAGTTGTGGGAAAATATTGGAAGTGTAACCCTTCGATTGCTTGTTTCTGGTGGGTCGCTTATTGGTTAAAATACTGCCATGCCAATAGATAACCCCACAATTAATTTCCGTTGTGGTTTGCCTCGCTCGCAAGGGACAAGGCAAATGAGATTGATTTCTGAGCAACAGTCTGTTGCCAGCACAAGTGTATAATTAATTCATAGTGAAACCAACCTTGTTCTGTTGATGCACCACATAAGCAACACTTATTCCTTCCACAAAACTCACATGCCCGCTACTGCAAGTTGCATGGACAGACTTAGTTCAAGCTTGTCTTGAAATATTTTAAACGGTGAAGGAACATGCATTTCCCTCCTCCACAACCTCATTCCACCACCAGGACAAAATAACAGCGCTTAGCATTTGCAGGATCTAATGCAAAGCCCACTGAAGGCAATGGAAAGACTCCCCCTGTCCGCAGCGAGTTTCAAATACGATTCAAAGCGCCCTTTTAGGAACGGTAACTAATCTTCACAACGCCGGCCATGACACAGTGAGCTACGATCCCCATTGTGACAGGGAGAGACGTGAGAAGCAGAAAGGCTAAGGGCAATGTAGCCATCAGTGGCCTCTGTTGGGAAACCTTGTTTTCTATTTGCCCAACTTCAGCTACCTCGGCCTGGCGTTGAGTGCAGTGACCCTAGTGCTGCAATGGGAAATCGAGGTGCTCACCGCAGTTGGAAATTAAACCCAGGGTGTCTCCAACTGAGCTGAGAATGAGAGCCCGCTGCTGAAATCCCTGCAGGTGGCTTGTTCCCAAAGCCAGAATTAAACCCAGGCCCTACCCAGTGACCAATAAACCACGCCACACCTCAAAGCCAAAGCATGGACCTGTTTTCTCCAATGACTGTTTCATGTGAAATACATGTGCAGTCCTGAGCACAGGACCCAGGCTTCCCCCTTCCGGGAGGATGCCTTCATTGCCAGGCTGTAGACTCAGGCTCCTGCCCGGGCTTGCAGCCTGGGCTAATGACTTGATTCCTCCCTCCATCATCCCCAGGAGGGGGGCCCAAAACAGCCTGTTGCCTAGTGGTTTGGGCACTCTCCTAGGAGGAATCTGGATCCCCTCCCACAGAGGAAAGAGCTGAATCTGGGTCTCTTTATGCATTAGGCCAAAACATAAAGGAGAGGCATATGGCAGCCACGTCTTAGACAGGAACAAATAAGCCTTCCCCCATAGTGTGGCCAAAAGGACACAGCTAAGGACCTTCAGGGGAAGTGTGTGGGTCCCAAACACACTAAGGCACCTCCCAGGAGCCCTGAAGGAGGCACATGCGGGGCAGAATTGAAACCCCAGGCCTTTCAACAGCATTTCCCTGCTGCCTAGCTCGAGGCAGCCACATGCGGACCTGGGGCTGACCTGCCAGCACGCCAGCTGGTCCTCATCCCATCCGGAGGGGAGCCCAGACCTTTCTGCCCGGGGCTTGGGATCCTATTTTGCATGACAGAGCCCATGTCTAGGTGCCTGCATCCTTCTCGCCTTGCATCACTTCTGGAAACCGGCACTGGGACATCTCACTCGCGGAGGGGGTTTTCTAATCCATTATGCTTTGCTGCCACCTATTCTGTATACCCTGCTTTGAAACCCAGACTGAAGGTCACGGTCAGCAAGAGCTCTGCCACTGATTTCAAAGGGAAGGGTAGCAATGCCATCCTGTGCCTCAGTCGTGGGGCTGCTGAAAGGAGGCTACACTGCTTGAGGCAATTAAGGTCAGGAGAAAGACTGACAAGAAGTCAGATGGGAATTGTGAGCAGGAGGTGTGAAAGTAAATGTGTGGTAAGAGGGAAAGGGGAGGCTATAAAATATTCAGAAAACTTGCACTTGGGCAGAGTTGCAGAACGGCAGGTGCATGAAAGACAAACAGCACTTGGGGGGTTTTTTGCAAGAGATTGCACTAAACAAAACGTCAAGCCCCAGGCACTTAGATTTGGGGAGCATGCTATAGCTCCCTGTAATAATACAATCAATGCACCTTACATTACTGTTGCAATAAAACCTACTTGGTGCCTCCACTGAAGATAAAGGAGTCTTTCCAAAGACTTGGATGGGTTTTTGATGAGACCCTCTCTTCTAGTGGGTCGCTAGGAAGAGTCGAGGTCTAGACGCAGAGACATAGTCCGAATTCTCCAAATTCAATATTTCCTGGAACGTTTTCCTCAAAAGTCTGATTTTCAATTCAAAGGAAACTATACTTTTACAACATTTTTTCTTTTAATATCTTGTTCAAGTGTGTTGACGTTTCTCATCAGAACGTAGGTTTTGTACTAAAAATAGAGGGATTTTTTTTTTTCCCTGAAAATATTCCCTCCCTCCCCCAAACCTGATACTCACTCTACCAGCTCAGAGACTAAACTAGCTATTACATTCTTACAGTGCTCCAAATGACCTCAAAATATGTTGAACACAATTCCCTGCCTCCTTTATTGACTCCATTAGCACGAAAGAGCTGCGTTTTGACAGCCCATTAAATGGTGCACTGTACCCAAACAGACACACGTCCCAGGTCTCCTCTGAAGCCTGCTCAGAAGGAATAAGGGCTGTAAAACCAAAGAGACAAAATAAAACACGATTTTAGGGTCCAAACTGGGGCCACAAACCAGACTTTACGACAACGATCAATCTTCATCCAGCTTAATTCTGCCAGAGGTGATATGTTGCAAAAAGCTTATCTGGTTTTCCAATTTTTTTTTTTTTTATTTATTTAAACTGTACACAAATGTAAGATACTTCAACAGCATATCTAAGTGAAAATTGTTTGGTTTAAATTATTATGGAACAGAACCTAAAAGGAACTTTATTAAATAAACATAAAAACTGGATTTAAAGGATGCACATATTGTAATGTATACTACAATAGTCATTTCCACTCTACATTCCATGTGCGTATGGTATAGAAAAGACATCAAATAGAACAAACAGAAGTCATTTTGTACCCTGAAATAGTTGGTAGGCCTCGTGAGGGATTGCTCAGTACAACTACATAATACGTGATGGCTTTGCCATCTCATAAAAATTATAAACTAATATGTTGGCCTCTTTGGTTCCAAAATTTATGTATAATACATTTAACTGTATTTCATTTTTTGCTGCTATAAAAATAACATTTTTTTCCAAATGGCAGTTTTTTTTTTTTCTTTCTGACTAATCATGCAACTAAATCAGTGCAAACATTAAAAGCAATCATTCGCTTTAAAAAAGAAGCAAAAGATTTAATTTCAAGTATAAAAAAATATAAAAAAAGTCATATCATAAGTCCAGTTTTGTCTAGTATGGGTCAACACTTTAAATTGCATAGCTCATGCGGCACCTGTTTACCTAGATAGTGAGCAAAGATAAGTGCACTATCAAGTACCACTTTTCAAGGCATTGAAATCTGCAAGTGCTATAATACGTGCATTCAAGCAGTTTGCAAGTGCTATGCTGTATTATTGTTTTCTGATCTTTATGGCCATCCTCGACACCTCCTGGTAAGGAAATCGAAAGCACTTTCCTCTCTCCTTTTTCTCCAAGACTTGTTAAATGTTCCTTGCCTGTTATTAAATGCACTGCATTTTTTCAGAATGTCTCCACTGTGTTACTGTAATTCCTTTTTAGGGTTCATTGGTCTAGTCGCAGTAGCGTTTGCTTGTTTGTTTGTTTTTTCCCCCGTGTGATGTGTCCTTGCCGAGTCCCCTGTTGAAGAACACAGATTGCAACTTTGATTTTCTTGGTTCTTAGGACAGTGAGATACAACATGCTAATGCTCCAGAAACGAGACAAAAATCCCCTTTGCAATGGCACAACAGGCAGGGCCGTCCATGGATTTCTAGTGGTCTGTTAAAGCATCAAATAATGCCAACCCAACACGTGATTTAGCAACAGTCTTACGTTAGAATTACAGTAGTTGCTTACGTATCTCTCTTTCTCTCTCTGATGTTATGGTATGGTATTCCTTACTGGAAGTGCTGTAGGAAGATAAGGATATCTGTGATGAGAGTTATGTTAAGAGGAAGTGATCACCTACATAAGCAGGTGTTCTGCAGCTTCCCTTTAGACCTTGGAGGTGATGGTCCTTCTTAAGTTTGGTCATTTTGACACCTGCGTGCAACACTAGATTACGTTCTCTCTTTTTTTTTGTTTTCTTGTGCTTTTGTATGAGCAAAGAGAGCTCATTTTAATCTGACTTCACTGGCAGGTGCGGAAACAGCTGCTTAGCCATTCACTTGTACTGGCAGGCATTTAGTTATGTTGTCACTGGTCACTGACTTCCTGTTTCTCGTATCCCTTTTCCAAACTGCTGGGTGCGTGTGCGCGCGCGTGGCTGTGGCTGTGTATGCGTGTGTGCATTTAAGGTATCTCTTAGCATTCATTTATAAGTGATAGAATATTTAAGTGTCCAAGATCCACAAACTGCCACTGTCCTGACACCAAAGTGAAACATTTTTTTGTGGGTTTTTTTTTTTTGTCAAACTTGTCCACAGTGACTTTTCAACACCGATGCCTGGATACACAGTGAAACTTCCTCCAACACCATCTAGCACGGGGATGTTCTCTTTCTCTCTCTCTCTCTCTCTTCCCCCCCTTAAAACACACCTTAAATCAAGCACAACCACATTCTTCCACAATCATATTGGGAACGTCCCTTTTCACAATGTTGTATTCATCGTCAAAGTACAGCATTGACATTGTGCTAAGTTTGGTTGGGATGCAACAGGAGTTCACGGTGCCCGGGTTCAGCCCTCGCATTCTGTACTGATTCACTACCGCAGTGTGAAAGGAGGAAGCTGACCCTGGGACTCCAGCCAAGTAGGCCGGGCAGCTCCCTTCACAGTAATTCCCATAGTAACCTGAAGGCGCTATGATCCAGTCATTCCACCCAATGAGTCTAAAGTCAATGTAAAACTGTTGCCTGCAACATAGATTGGTCCTGCCATCACACTCCAGACCTCTTTTCCGGATCCTGTGTTTGTTATCAGCTAATCGGGCTTGCACCACTAAAAAAGGCCGATGGGATTCCTCCCCAGGGTCCACATAAATTGGCAGCACTGAATACTCTTCGCAGCCCTCACATTGAACATCCAAGTTCAGTCTCCTTTCTCCTTTCTCAAATAGAGCCTGGATTGCCTCTGTAATGGGAAAAGTGTGCCAACCACTTCTTTTGAGATCAACTTTCTTTTCAACCACATTCCACTTGTTGCTAGTGTCCGGGTCTTGGAAATAGACTTTGACTCTTACTTTTCGCCTGCTGCCTTTCTCTAAGACGTACGGAAGCAGCTTCAAGTAAAGCCAGAGGCTGGCCTGAACGACAAACAAGTTCTGGTTCCCTTCGTTTGAGATGAAGAAATAGAGGCGGACTCTTGACGAGGCCAGATCATCTGCAAGATAAGGAGAAATCAGCAACGTTAAGCCAAAAACAAAAATGCATCATTTGTGCAATTCTGGATGCAGAAGCAACACGGCAGCATAACTGATCAAAAGAGCTGGGAGAATTCATCAGCCAGAAATAATGCACTGAATTAGACATCCAGAGTTTGTATTAGAAATGCATCAAAAAGCAACTTCCCACAGCAACGCTCTAACCAGGCTGTAGCTGAATGTGACAGATCCATAGAAACCAGCATAAACTCTTCAGAGCACTGGCTTTTTAGAGTCAGACAAACTCAGAAAGGCTATATAACACCCTGTCCAGAAAAGAACAGTGTTAGTACCTTGATATCTAGTAATTAAGAAACATTTTAACCTCCAAATGCCTTTGGAAAGGCTTTTTAGCAGCCAATATCGAATAGCTGAAAACTGTAACAAAACGCTTTATTTTCGTCTCACTTGCTTAACAAGGGATCCAGAATATTGGGGAAAGATTATCCCGTATCAGGTCCACAAATGGCTCAACTAACCCACACCTCATCTACTTAATTAGTACAGTATCTGCTAGTAGTAGATTTTTGTCTTTGCCTTTTTCCCCAATAAAAGCACATTCTTTCCTGAGGAGGTCAGATGAAAGAGCCCCTGGTCATCATAACCTTCCTACTGACTGTTCTTAAAGTATTTAATAATGCCAGAGTTAGATGAGTTAAACTATCCCCAAAGGTCTGATACCAAGGCATAATTTGCAACCAGAAAAAAAAATCCATGCATACCAGAACTCTCCGTATCCCCACTGGCATTTTGTGTTATGGGCAATGAATTACTGCCCACTCTGGCCTGACAGTCTTCCTATAATCCAAGTGCTTTAACTGTATTCTCCTGATTGCTCTCTGAAATTATTAGATGGACAGGTATTTCTAGTCTGCTATCATCTGGATACTGCAATGCACACACATTTCTCTCCCTTTCAGTTTTCCAGAAAGCTTTATTATTTTAAATCCAGCTTTGAATTATCATCATCACCATCACTGCCTTCGTTTGTTATCTGCAATCTCTTCAAAAGGCATCTCTTAGGCCCAGCCAGTGTCTTACAATGTTTCAAATGCATTATAACATTTGCTGTGTCTACATAAGTTTTATATAAACAGAATAGAATAATATTATTATATACAACAGGTTTTTAAGTTGTGGGGAAACCAAGCAACAAATGGAGCAGTGAATAGAACTGCAAACCCAGCAGAGATTGCATAGCATTGGCCTTCGGATAAAACAGCAAAAGCAAAATCAGTGATAATCAAAGTGCCTTATTACAGGTTAATACACAGCTTTCCTGCAAACTGTGATTACAATGGAAGGAAATTAAAAGCACAGTGTCACTAAACCAATATGTTACCTGTACAGGAACTACAAACAGGCAAGCACATATGCAAGCTAAATAAATATAATAAATATAGTATACTGCAAATGTGTATGCTTTTGACAGCAGGTGGGAGGATAAAGTAGATGCCTGGGCAGCACTTACAAGGATAAATGGGTATGGAGATGCTACAGAAAGACAGATACAGAAGTGAACTGAGTGACAGTAGATTGATGGAGAGATTGAGAAATCAAGTACAAAGCTAGTAGGAAAAGTGACAAATAGAGAGCGTGTTTAACAATCTAGATGGACACGCAATGACACCGCACAGCGGAGTGGGATGGAGAGGTGGGTGGATGGACGTAGACAGATGAATGGATGGGATCGATATGATTGATACTGTGGTTGGATGGGGACATGGTGACTACGTAAATGGATGGATGAGCACACCGAGCAGATGGACAAGCAGGAGATAGAAGGCTGGATATAGTCAGCAGATGGATAAAGGCAGTCCAGAGATGGAGTAACATGACTGACACCATGAATGACCAGACTGATACACAGATCAATGAGCTGAATGGATATGTATAGACTGTATAAAGGGGAAAAGGCAGAGCAGGGAGATGGACAGATGGAGCCATACAGTGGAGAGATGCATCAGAGAAGTCTGTAGAAAATACAGAAGAGAAATGATAGAGCAGGCAGGGCATGCAGGGACATGCAGACAGATGGATGTGGCAGAGAGAACCACAGGATACGCAGTTGGAGGAGCTGGAAGGAGGGATGCAGCTGAGTGGGCACAGGATAAGATGGATGCATGGGGGCTATAAAGCATGCAGAAGATAAACTGAACCACTGGACAGGGCTGCTGGGCATGTGGATGAAAAATATGGATGGCCTGACTGTAGTGAATGCAGTGTGGATGGGTGGGTGGGTGGATAGATGGATGGGGTCCAGGGGACACAGAGCAGAGTGTAAATGCACGGACCGATCTGCAGGACGTGCAGAGGGACAGGGAACATGGACCTGGTGTCCACAGGTGACAGGAAGAATGGGGAGATGGGTATAGCAGAGGAGCTGAAAGACCTGGAGCGGGTGAATACGTGCAGCAGAAGTGGCTGGTGGGCGCGTCCCGGGATGGGGCAGGAAAGGGCAGGCAGAGGTGATGAGTGGGTGAAACAAGTGTTGCATATGGACTTGGCTGGCTTTAGAACAGAGGGAAGGAGGGATACACGGATGCATACAGCAGACACAGGGCAGGGAGGGCAAAGGGAAGAGGGCAGCAGGTGGCACGTGGGTCAGGGGGTGGATGGACAGAGCAGAGCTGGGGGGATGCAGTGGGGCAGAGGGATCCAGGGGATAAGGAAGCTGAGAGACCCAGGGGAGGAGGGGCAGCAAGGCTCAGGGGAAGGGGCAGCAGCAGGA